ACACGTTTTGTTTATGCTAACAGCAACATGACCAACATGTCAGGCTAACCCCAAAATCCCACATACTACGTCAGCACCCCGCTCCGCCCCGCTGCGCTCCAGACCGGCTGCTCAAAGCAAAGCCTACGGCCTCCACTGTGGCTCCCGTCCGCTCCGCTCTGAGTTCCTTGGAGATCGTAGAGAGCATGCGCCAGATGATTAAATTCAAAGCAGCAAAACATGCGGAAATGATCCAGGGTTTCCGCGAATCATTAAAAATAATTACAATTCATTCATTTTTGGGGATTTTTTCATTAATTTCATTAAAAAAAAAATTCATTCATTTTTATAATTTTTATTAATTTTTTTATTTTTCGGTGTAACAATAAACATACCGAACCGAAAACCATGACCGCGAAACCGTGAACCGAACTGAACCGTGGATTTTGTCAACCGTTCCACCCCTAATGGCCTTACATAAAAATATCACCAGAATGATTGACTGTTAGGAGGACCACTTATTTTGATGATCCACCCGGAAAAAGAACATCCTCAACTATACCTTTAACCAATCTAGAGTTACTTTTAGCCTTGCTTCTATTTTATCACAGGTTCATAGGTAATCTAACTGTAAATAACATGATTAATTCTTAACTGAAAGAGTTATTTTATTTTCTACACGTTGACGTCTGCGGTAGGTGTCCTCGAGACAAATCAGTTACACAAAAGTTTACATGAAAGTGAAATGCTCCCAATTTTGCTGAAGAGTTCCTCTGAAAGCAGAAGATGCTTTGAGTCAGGCTCACTGATGAATAATGCATCCACTCAGCCGGTTTTCCCGCTCGCTGTCAGATCACAGGCAGGATGGGCTAATATGGGACAGCACCTCCAGCATTATATTAAGAATGTGCAATAAGGAACATCAAAGCTAGTATGGCAGGAAAGATCTTATTGTGGAAGCTTAGTTCATCTCTGGTCCAGTTAGGAGCAGCTAAAATGAGGCTATGATTAAAGTTAAATCTCTTTTATGAATTATAGATGTTTCGCCGGTTGTGTGTTTCTCCCATTCATGCATTAAAGTGTCACCTCGATCTTCCTGCAACTCAAATGATCAAATAGAATGAAATTAAATGGTTGCTTTCTCTCATTCTTCATGCTTAGCTGCTGAACTGATGAGAAGAGAGCAGAAAAGCAGCGTGTGTGTGTATGGGGCTTTAAGTTTTCTGGGTCAAGGAGACTTCTAAAAAAGAAAAGGTTTTTTAGAGCAATGCAGTGAGTGAACACATACAGGGGCGCCTTAAAAGCCTGGAGGTTCTGGTCATCATCCAATCCTCTGTTCTGTTATGTGGAGGCTGACTGAGATGTTCTTACACTTTCCAAACAACAAATAACTATTTTAATCAACTCTGAAGTGATGCTCCACTTGAAAATGATTGAAAAAAGTCACGTTTTTTTCTTCTCTCTGTGGTTTCTAATCTTTACTTGATCAGTTTCAGTTTTGTGATTTGAAGCTACACAATGTAAAAAATGGATGCACTATAAAGAAGGTGCCTGTGTGAGCCGACGTCAGAGCTGGAGGGTTTTGGCACTTGGAGCGTTGGCTTGGGGGTGGCGTGATGCTGAGAAGCAGATGGCCAGGTACTGTTGAGACAGTCATACTGCACAGCCTTTGTCAGCTCATTCTTGAAGCATTGGCCCAGCCAAACATGCTGCTGGCTTCAATTTCTTACAACCCAAATGTGGCTTTGAGGTGGGATATTTCTGTCCTGTGGACAGACACCAATTTGTTCAATGAGTAAGTGTCAGGTAGGACCTAGATTTAAGACTGATGTTGCATTGAAAAGATTACTGCACATTTCCTGTGTGTAAAACTATTTACTTTTTTATTTTATTTTATCATACTCCAGGAATTAACTTTTATTTATTCAAGTTCTAAAGTGGGGGAAAAAAATTATACATGATTTTAAAGATTATTCATAAATATATAAAGTGTGGCGTGTATTTTTATCGCTTCATTCTGTTACCGGTCCTCTTGTGTGTCATTTTAATTTAAGTGCACTCACTGCTGTTCTTTAAGGCCTCAGAGAGTTTTTAGAGAATATTGGCTAACAAAGCAGTATTATAGAGACTAAGGAATACAGCAGGCAGGTCAGGGAGATGATTAAGGAGATGTTGTACAGTAGGTTATAAACCAATTTTGCTTACAGATCACTGCTCAATCCATCATCCACAAAAATAAGAAGAGGTAGCCTTAACTACCAAGCTTTCAAAGCATGACTGTGAGTCTAATAGGGCTGGGAAGATGAGTATCAATCAGAAAAATCATCCTAGAAGGTCATACCTGTAGAAACCCACATTAAAGGAGAATCGATCAACTGGACATCTATTAGTCTGGAACTCCACAAATCTCCACTTATAAAAGAGTGACAAGAAAAGATGTAAAAAAAAATCCTTGAGAAAGCAGTTTAAAAAAAAAACATAATTTGTCTCAAACAAAGGCAGATAAACGTTTGGAAGAAGGTTCTCTGACTAGATAGGACTAGACACCTTGATTCATATATAGACATGTATAAAAAGTAAGCCTGTTAAATACAATCCCATTCAATCCTAACTATAAAAAAATACTTTAAATATTTGTTTCTTATGCATACTTTTTTTTTCTATAGTTAGAGATAATCCAGCTGAATGCATTGAGTTACTTTGCAGTAATCTATTCAACTGAAGTAGAAAAGGAAAGGTCTCTTTAACCTCTTACACCCTAAGGGGGTATAAATAAATTTCTGCCTGACAAAAACACACAAAAGTAAATAACTTATAGCCTCAAAGCTATTAGATTTAAGAAGAAACTTTTGGTACCTCTGTAAAGGTAAGATGTCATAGAATGGTTTTCTGGTGTCAGCACCATTGTAGCTTTGACCCTGCCTGAAATATTAGGGACAAAATACAAAATATTTTGCATTTTTTGAACCTCGCCAAAATTTTCTTTGAAATAAACATTGCAAAACACTACCAAAATATTATTTATAGCACAAAAAAGTAGTACAGACTTTTAAATCTAAATGTTGTGTAAAAATATACCAAATTTGGACTCAATCAGATGAATCATATTTATTTTAGAATGGTATTAGAGAGAAATTTCTTAGGCGGAGAGGCCATTTTGGCACATTTATCCATAAATGTCACCAAACTGTGCCAAATATGTTTTTTACATCAATACTGGGGGTTTGGTAAAATTACGAGGTCACGTAGCAGCTGGACCCACCGGTGGGTCCGTAGGGTTCTAGGGGTTAAGGTGAAACACGACAAGCAGAATCTGGTTCTGTGTAACCGCCTCCCACCACCGATCGGAGGTCTGAGGAGACAGAGGTCAGAAATTAAATATGGAAGAAATGCTGCCAACATATACAAACTGCTGCTAAAGACTTGATTATTTTACTCTGGTGTGTTCAAGCAGAATCACATATAAAAGGGTGCTGAACACTGGTTGAAGAAACTTTATTAATAAAGAGTACAAAATATTTTTTACCACAATTTGTAATCTTATAACATAACAAATTCCCATTTACTTTTTTAAAGATATGTTATTAGTAACCTTTTAAATAAACCTTACATTTTGCATATACATTTGTATCAAATAGCTTATTTTATTTGAAATATATAAACAACAGGTTTATGTATAAAAAATAATACTAAATAGTCCATCTATTCCAAATACATCAAGTTTATTGTTTGAATTTGATAAAGGTGAACCTGATTATTATACAATTCAATTATTGTCCAAATCATTTGTGTTCAGTTTGAGTAAGTATACTATTAATTCTAAATACATAAACCGGACAATTATGTATATTTGATAAAGATGATACATAAAAAAACGAATAATCATCATGTAATGTTTATTTAATAAAAAAAATAAGAGTAAATGGGAACTTGTTATGTCATAAAATTATATAAATCTCAAAATTTGGGCAAAATATTTTGGAAGTGTAGACCATTGGTGAAGATGTATGGGATGTAAAAAAAAAAAAGATTAAGTGTCATCTAATGTGGTGCCAATAAGTTGGTGCAAAGAAGACTCTGGTCATGAGCTGCGGGAGATGACAGGATTTCAAGTTCCGGGGGGGGAGGGAGAGTCGCATCAGAACTAGGTTTAATTAATCAGAATAATGTAGTACAGCTGAGAAAGAACCAGATGAGGAAAAGTTAGGAAAGGTAACTAGCAGACACAGCTGAAGACACCGAGTCGGCTGGACCAGAACTGAAAAAAAGAAAAAGCCCTGCATTAAAAATACAAACCTAAACCAATCCATAAAGAGCAGATTGGGATAAAGAACCATTAAACCTATGCATTCCCTTTCATCACAATGCATTACTTTGTTTGCTACCCTCAATATATTATCCATACAGTAAAAATGAAGGTGGTGGCAGAATCATGCTGTGGAAATATTTTTCTTCAACAAGGACGGAAAAGCTGGTTAAAGCTGATTGGAAGATGGGTGCATGGATTAAAAAAAAAATTAGAGAGGCAACAAAAGAATTGACATGGGAAGACATTTCAGCAGATCAGCTTTTAACATACAGTTAAAGCTACAGTGGATAAGATCAAAGCATGTCCTTTGTTTCAAAAAGACACGGTCAAATTAAAGCCTAAAATGGTCGGGGTCACCATTATTAATTGTACTTTCACATCACCTCTGAACTTACTTATGTTACAGGCGTCAAGGTTTAAATCAGCAGGCCAACATGCTGACGATCATCCTTAAGGAAACCCATACACTTTATGTTCTACAAGGTTTTGCCTAAATAATTCCACATTATTTTTCTTTTTCTTTTTGTATTTTGTTCTGTTTGAGCTCTGTTAGATTATCCCCGGGTTTGGGACTGTCATCGTATCATTTTTGTGCTCTATTCATGCGGACTGAATTTACAGCAAACTCAAAAATAAGACTAACACAAAAGCACAGAAAATACATGAAAGAGAAAAAACCCTGGAAAGGAGAAATTCTCCAATGAATTACTAAAACCTGCAGCAAACACATAAATTATGCTAATACACAAAATACATGCAAAGGAAATTCTGCAGGTAGTAAAAACATCCGGAAGTTAAGAAAAGCTGCAATCTAGTTCTACATAACAGAATGGATCAACACTTGCTGCTCTCTCGCTCTCTTTGTGTGTAATTTTTTGAATTTTCTTGCGTATAATCCGACTTTCCATTACTTTTCAACTTGAAAAGTAATGGAAACTCGGACAGGTGTTTAGGTTTGTAGTTCCTTCTTTCTCAGTCTTCCTGCGCTTCACCCACCTCAGCTGATTTACTTTAGCTTCTGATTAACTCAGCTGTATTTAGTGTCTTTCCTCACTTGTCTCTCAGTGTATGTTCCTGAACATCCTAATTAGACATGCGATCCAATATCTGGATAGGATACAAATTCAGATATTGACTAATTAGCTGGATCGGATTTTAGTGATTGGATAACCCAGTGCACTTTACATGGAACTGTTATTTCTTTCTTTTTGGTGCTTATTTGTAATTCACTTATATAAAGGACATTTATATCTGTTTTAATTTGTTACCCACTACCTAACAATATTTATATCAAGGCTAAAGCCTTCAGTTACATGGCTGGATCTATGGTTCATTCAATATTTGAATCAGATCGTATCGGATGTCTGCCGATACGCACAGCACAGGTATCTGTATCGGATTAGATTGCAAAAAAAATCTTACCGTAATTACTTTTTGCTGGATTCTTGTGTTGTAGTGCCTAATAGTCCGTTCCACTGCAGTGATACTACCTGTTACTCTGGCCATGTTTCATGTCCTTTGTTTCTTTGAAGTTTTCTCTTTTAAAGCTAAATCATAGCAACGTTCTTATCAAGTTCTTAGCTGCAGTTTGGTCCAACTTATTATTCACAAGATCTCAAACAATGTCGGTTTGCAGCTGGTTTACAACGTTCTTGCTTTAATCAGCATTTCATAGATCTGTTGGCTTTTTACTTAAAGGGGAACGCTGTTTTTTTTTTTTTTTTCCATTGGTCCCTTGATTTTCCGTTATTCCATCATGTTCTACTCACCCATATGAGTTTTGTGTCATTTGGAGCCGTTCTGAAGATATTCGGTTAGGTTATATCCAGTAACGTCTTCCTATGGGCAACGACTTGAAGGCACAAACTAAACTGTTCATCATTCATTTGAGGATTTATATGGATTTCATAATGAGAATATCTAAAAGCAAATTAAAAATGAAAAGAAACAATAGAAATATGTTTATTATCTATGAAGTTCAGGTGAACGCTGACTCCTCTAGTTCATAGGTCATTATTGGTAGCCCGTCCTATGACTCAGTACCCATAAAGTAGCCCTCAGCCTTAAAAAAGTTGGTGACCCCTGCTTTAACCATAGTTCCCACATAATCGATATTCAGATTGTTTGTTGTTGTATTGCTTTCAAACTTTCCTTGATGATGAAAATAGATTTGAAATATCCAGATTTGTTTCAAAAGACCTTTCATAATTTCTTTTTTCTCCTTTTGTATTCTATCCTACAAGTATTTAAAACACAGTTCATCATTCCACTTTCCAAATGCTTAATATTTATTAGAAACCAAATCAAAATCGAGAGGTTTTAGGTGCTATTCAAATCTTTATTGTAAAAAAAATTTATTTTATCTTTTCTTTAAACCGGATGTTTTTTTATTCTTGCAGAAAATGAAATTAAATAACTGACAGACCAATTGGTAGCTATAATAGGTGACACACACAGTCAATAGAGATTAAACCAGTGCAGACGCTGGTCGTCTTCTCGAGACTCAAAGTGTGCGAGCAGGGTGGGAATGCGTTTCTCTGGAGGGCAGACGGCACAGCTACGCTAAGCTGTGAATTCTCACTGGACTCATGGATGTGTCAGTGGACTTGGAGGCTTTTTTTGTCTTTTTTCAGCAAGTACAGAAACTGCAAAACCAAGTCGTGAAAACAAAGGAAAATATTTCTGATGAAATGAATTTATGACTGGCTTCTGTTAATGAGGTTTGCCGCACTTTGTTAAAGCTGAAGACATAGCTGGTGGTTAAATGCAGGTCTGCTTTAATGCAGCAGCTCTGCACTATTTGGGCACATGAGTAAGGCTTTTTTTTTTTTTTTAAAGTGCATTCTAAAAGGACAGACTGCTTTTCCAAGATATTTATTTTCAGTACTTCTTCTAATATAAAAGAAAAAATGCAATTAGAATTGAAATTATGCAAACGAAAAAAGAAAAAAAGAAGATTATTATTTGCAAACTGCGCCTGTTAAAATTTCATGAATCTTCATTTCATGTCTGGGGATATTTTGATTTGAAAGCTTTCACCTCTATTGGAACCGTTCCCATTTTTAATGCCTTTATGCTCAAATTGTCTGTCTTCCTAAGAGTTGATTCAGTAAACACACACAAAACAGTGCATATCTAAATTTGGTTTTCATAGTGATCTACAAATAAAGAGCCAAAAGGTTCTTTATAACTTTGCATTCACTGCCTTTTAATCTGACACCCTTAATACCCTTAAACGGGCGAAGGAATTAAAAGTGGATCTACAACTGAATCTGATTTCAGTTTGTTGTTTCCTGCAGTGACGGCTGGGCAGACCGCATTGAGGTGGTGGAGGGGTATGAGCATGAAGCCGTTGGTGGCATCACTGTGAAGCTGCACTCTGAAGAGGTCTCCTCCTTCGACAGTTACTTCCTGAAGCTCAAGCTCAGCACAAACACCCGCAATCCATGGTTCCCAGAGTTTTGGCAGCACCGCTTTCAGTGTCGCCTTCCTGGACACCCACAGGAGAACCTGAACTATGCAAAAAACTGCTCAGGTAAGATGCACAAACTTATCAATTCCTCTACATATTTGCTGGTTAAGTATTAGTTTGTCTCTCTTGTAATATTGAGATGTGTTTAATGCCCAAAGGAGGGAGCCAAAAGGCCCCATAAAATAGAGCAAACTTTTTAAATATAAATTGGGCTGCCTAAGGGTAAAGTTCTCCACTAGTCAGTCCATTTTTTTCATACTGTTTATTTGTGTGTTACTTGGCTCCACAGATGATGATGATCTAGGTAAATTAAGTGTTTTTTTATTATTAAAGGAACACTGTTAATGCATTAGCTTTGGTTCTTGTTTTCTTGAAACGATGCTCAACAAGCACGTTTCCACGTGTTTTTTTTATGACACAGTTCTTTTAATTACATTAATTATTGTTTTGTTTTTACACGGCTTCTATATTTACGTTTTTTAACCACAAGATATGAGGGTTTATTAAAGCAAAAAACATCCATAACCATTCTTATAATTGATATAAATAACATTTTTTGGAGGTAATTGATAAACGTAAATATAAATTGATGCATGAAAAACACTACTTTCCCTTTCAGTTGACACATCTGGCTCTACTTTTGGCTTATGTTGCACTTTTTGGTTAAATACCACTACAGTAATTTATTTTTCTCTCTTTTTTTTTTTTTTTTTTTGCAGAATTTGCTGTTTTTTTATTCTTTCTACTCCCATGCACTAACCTGAAAGTTTTCCTTTCCTTCCATGAGTTATCATGTTTTGTAAAAACAAAAAAAAACAACATATGGTACTTATTTTTAATGTGGAAAAAGAGTTCCTGTTTGCTGTTTTTCTGTATTTATTTCCTGTTTATTTTACCTCATTGATTTATTTTGGTTTAGAACTCCAAGATGGTGAGTGATTTTTTTTTTTTTTTTTCCTGAATGGAACCATAACGCTCCTCACCTTTAAAAATATACAGAGAGGTTTACTGACATTAAGGCTGAATCACATGAAGGGATGGTCATGCTTTTATTAAAAACTTTCATTTCCAATTAATCTCAGTGGACCTCTTATATATGAAGCTATTGGGATGTTTTTGGGATTCTGAGAGCCTGATAATTGGGTTAGTTTGTGCTCTCACACCCTCCCGTAAAGCTAAGGCAGTCATATAAAACAGCCCAATAACTGGCTGAATCTTGCTGAATTTGCATGTAAGCACAGAAACTAGGCAGTTCTCTTCATACGCAGACAAAGTCCTGCTGTCATGCAGCTAAATAATTCCAACATGCAGCAGTAGGTCCTCTGCTTGCATGCAGACATCATAGCATCACTGCATCATAACTGAGTCTCCCACAGCTTAGCAAGTGCAGCGAGCGTCAAAGACAAGGAGCTGCTAAAGTAGGTCATCACCAGTCGCTCCCTTCAGATGCTCACCCAGCTGCTACCTAACTGTAGTTACTGTTTATGTGTTTGTTTGCAAAGACAGCTGTCCCAGCAGTTGTTTTGAAATGTCCCCATGCAACAGAAGCTGCAACCAGCACAGCATAATGGTAGAGATGCTTATAAACAAATGTAGTCGCCTGCTGCTGTATATAGCTAAGAGAACCTGTCTTTCAGAGGTTTTGCTGAAGGAATGCTTAGCTAATTATATACCAAAACCAAAAAGTATTAAACATTTATTGGCAGAAAAATCCTAATCCAACTGTAAGAAGAGTTATATGAACAATTTTCTTTAAAAAACTGTAGTCAGTTGTATTTATGCATGCATGGTTCCCTGGGCAAGATCTTCCAACAGCATCCCATTTTTATTTTAAGGAATTTAATGATGCAAAAAAAGTATAACTCAACTTTTTATCTAAAAAATGCATAAACCTCAATTTAAAAAAGATCAGTCCAGTTCATGTCTTCATATATATTCTAATATTATTATTTGCTCTGGAAGAGAGATAATTAGTTTTATTTTCAGCAATACAAAAAGAGCCTTTGGCTCTTTGCTGGATACGTAAGTAATAAAAAACATGTTTTGGGTTGTTCATACTGTTCCTTGATAAAATGTTCCCCTGGGAATGGATCCATAAATAACCATCTGATGTCTGCTATAGGTCTTTAACTGTTTTCTTGTTCCAGGTGAATTACAGTCCAGTCAGTCTCTAGGGAACGCCTTCAGGGGAGGAAATCTTTCTTTGTTGAAAATTATTTTATATTAGTCCCATAGATTGGTGACCTATCCTGGGTGGGCCGCACCTCCCACCCCAATGACCTCTGCTGTAACCCTACAGTGACAAGAATACACGTACAGGAAGGATGTGAAACACTGATAACATTTACTTTGAGAGGAACTTTGTCTAACCTCAGAGACTGGCTGAATTCCAAACTGGCCCCTAAACACTAACCCTAAGCACTACTCCTCCGTTTGCACCTTCCCGCAAAGGGTTTTGCCACATTGAGGGCCGTCACAAACATGCATTGGTTAGGGCGAGTGGACCTTTCAGTCCTTATAGAGGGAGTAAAACTTGTGGCAGAGGAAACATTTGCATTTAAATGTAAAGTCTGCTGGTTAAAAAAAAAATGTCATCAATTCCTAAATGGAAGGTTCTCTTTGGACTAGTTTTATTTGACTGGATAGATTTATTTTTAAGAAAATGGCAAATGTTTGATATTATGTTAACGTGCAGCACAGAGCTACAGCCATGCACATGCGGTATCACTGTGTAGCCATAGGAACTTAACGTTCGACTGGTGATGTTTGCACATCACCCAAATACAATCCAGGTGCCTTTCACCACTATGAGTGTGACTTCACACTGTAAAAACGAAATAGTTAGTTCAACTCAAAATTTCAAAGCAACCGACTGCACAGAATTTTTAAGTTGAAGGCATCAACTTAATTTTTTAAGTTTTGTAGAATTACACTTATTAAGTTGTGTCAGCTAAGTTTTTCAAGTTCTGCCAACTAAGTTTTTTTAATTCAAGTTACTGGAACTTGCAAGTTTTTAAAAATTTATTATTTTAAGTTCAGATTATCTGTAAAAAGTTATTTTAAATTCAGATTACCATCCCTTGTAATAACTTACATTTTTGAGTTTGAATCCCCCCCATTAAATCATCCACTGACAGTAAACCATCCTTCCATTTTCCTACACACTTGTCCTGAGTGGGGTCACTCCAGCAGTCAATGGGTGAGAGGCAGGGTACACACCTAAGGACAATTTAGAGAAGCCAATCAACCTAACAGTCATGTTTTTGGACTGTGGGAGGAAGCTGGAGTACCCAGAGAGAACCCACACATGCTCAGGGAGAACATGCAAACTCCATGGAGAAAGACCCACAGGCCAGGAATCGAACCCAGAACCTTCTTGCTACAAAGCAGCAGTGCTACCCACTGTGCCACTGAGCAGCCCTGACAGTAAACCAGTCAAATTTTGCATCTTTATTTGAACCACTTTGGCAAAAACAGTTTTACAATTCCACAATGTAAACAAGTAATCTTATGCTTAAAGCAAATCAGGTTTCAGCATATATTTTTTTACTTTCCAACTCCTGTTAAAACCTTACAAATAATGCAATATTGCCAGAGATGACAGGAAACCAGTGCCTTAGTCTTCTCTTGGACGAGTCCTCAGGGAAAGTTACCGCCAGCAGAGTGACCAGATGGCTGATGCAAACTTTAGAAGGGAGCTCCTGGGAAAATCCATGGAAACCCTGTAGCAGCTGGTTGCCATGACAAATTTGAAATGAGCATGCGCAGATAAGATGACCTCGCTCGGACTGGGTGTCAACTACAATGTCAAAGTAAACTCAACTTAATTTATAGAATAAGATTAACTTTTCATCTCAAACTTATGAAAGTGAGTTCAACTGGCTCACAACAGACAGTTCAAGTTCCAACTGGCAATTTTATTGTCAGTGAATGCAAAAATCTTAGTAAGGTGAACAATTTTGAGTTGTCGTTTTTACAGTGTATTGCGAGTTAGTGGTTAGGGAGCAGTTTGGGATTCAACCTTTGTCTAAAATCTTTTGGCTGAATTCATAGCTCCAACTGTAGGCAACATCAAGATCACACATTTTTGTCAGTCTAACCTCATTTATATTAAACAGCACAATTAGTAGCGATGCACCAATCTGTTTTTTTATTATCCTGTCCAATACCTGGGCTCAGCGTATTGGCTGATATCCGATACCAATCCAATTCAGCTGTTGAATGAATGAACCATGTATCTAGCCATGTGAGTAAAGGCAAAACAAATGAACACATATGAAAATGTACACTATATTATTTATTAACTAAACAGCAAAAATAAAAACATAAGAGTTCCAAAGTGCACTGAGATGGATTTCTGATATACAATATCAAATCACTGATATCAGATCCGGGTATCGGATTGGTGCGTCAAAATAAGTTCCCATAAATATTTCCCTAGTATAAATAAAACTTTTTAAAAACTACAGTGGTTAGCTAGTTCTATTTGGACTTTTCTTCTGAAAATGGGTGTCATATTATATTGAGTTTTCATATTTTTTTAAGGGATTTTGGATTCAGTTCCACTGAGAACAGCTCAGTTATACAGGATGCAGAGTAGCTGTGAATTTAGTTTTTTAAATATTGCCACAGATTCAGAACTAGACTAAGTTTAGACTTTTAATAGGCCATATGAACACATGAGTGTGCTTTGACCTAAATCATTCCCTTGTAGCCGTGGCTCTATGTTTCATTGTGCTACTGAAAGGTAGAACCTGTGCTACTCTGGGAGTTTCCTTGCAGCTTCTGATCGGTTTTCTTCCAGGCTTGTATTAAGCTCCATTCATTCCTCCATTAATTCTGACCAGCATCCCCACTGCATGACGCTGCCACCCCTATGTTTCACTATGGTGAAGGATATTCAGTGATATGCAGCAAAAATCGCATTCCACATATAGAATATATTCTGGCCTCACTTTCACAGAGCACTTTCTACCAAATGTTCACTGCCTCCCTACATGTTAAACTACGAAAGGCACTTCTTATGGCTTTCTTTCAGCAACGACTTTCGCTGTGGATTTGTGAAGTGCAAAAGCAACTGTTTATCCTGTCAAGAAATGTTCCCCACCTTAGCTGCGGATCTCTGCAGCTCATCTAGAGTTGCCAGTTGTCACTGTTTGCTTCTCTGATTGCTCTGATTCCCTCCTTTGCTTGTCAGTCAGCTGGTTCACCATGTCTCACCTAGAGATGAGGGAAAAAATGGTGCTGTACCGTGATTTTCGGCTGCCCGAAATATCAATCTTTCAGTTCCTAATATCCATTAAAAAAAAACAAACAAAAAAACATTTTTACCTGAAAGAATGAGGGAAAATGGGCAACCTCTGCACTGCTACTCTGGCAGATAGGGATGTGAAGCCCTTTTGCTGTGTGGCTGTGTATAGGTCAGGCAGTCACTGTTATGTCAACCCAGAATATAGGACCCAGTACTCAGGCAAGACAGACAATGGGAAGTTTCAAAACAATTAGCAAAAATAGCACAGAACTGAACAGAAGCGGGCTGCTGTAGATCTCCAAATCTGCGGGGACTGCAGGGGGAGGCGGGGCGCCACCCATCACTGACACTCTGGTTGAGGGAAAACACAGGTAAGTGACCATGATAATCTTACGGGATTTGATTATCCGTATGAGTCACTTACCTGGTTTAACAGCTCAGTCGTCCTCTCTGATGAGGCAGGATCCAGCAGATGGACTGCCAACGAGATGCTGCACGGAGCCACCCAGAGTGCCCCCGATGCAGCAGCCTCTGTGAAACAGGCAGAAGTCCAAGGTTCTAGGAATCCACAGAGCATTCAGGCAGGATCAGAGTTCCAGGAGTATAGCAGTGAGCTAAGACAGACATGCTCAGATGGAGACAGGCGGGCTCAGTGGTTGAGAGGCAGAGACAAGACATGGTACCAGGAGAACTGCAGAACTTTAAACTAGCTCCATCCTCTGAGCCAAAACAGGAACAGGGTGCACTCAGTTGAGAAGAGCCAGGACATGATCAGGAAAAACAAGACAACACTAAACACCCTCTCAAACCAGCTGGCCTCAAAGAATGAAAACTTGAACTAAGGTATCTGAGTCAAAACTCAGAGCACAAACTCTGAAAAACTCCATGCAATGATCTGGCCCCGATAGGTGGGCTGAACCATATATAAAGCAGAAGGAGCAGGTGGATAAGATGAATGATAATTAGTGAGCGGGGTGGGTTCAGCAGGTGAGTGAAGTGAGTAATAAGATCAGCTATCAGGGCTGCGATTATTACGGTCAC